TCATCTAAGCGCTGTAGATAAGATAGACGCCATGAAATTCTGTGACAGGTCCCTTAACAAACCCCTAGGTAGAACACTTGATGCCAGTGCTTTACTCTCTCACTCTCATCCTTATCTTAGTGTCTTCACAGACATCTAAGACAACTCTTAGCCTCCTCACTTGCCTTGTGTTCTAGTCAAACACAGATGTGTTTCAGGTCCAATGACATTTTGCTGATGTACAGCATGCCAATTGTAAATGCCAGTGTTGTATTTCTTGAACATAGGAAATGCTGAGGTGCAGCTGGAATGATCAAGCCAGATCCATAGGAGGGAGACACACACATAGTGGATGTGAACTGGGGTACATTTCCTATCTACAATGGTATATGTACGTGAGTAGTGCCCTAAACTCTGATCAGATAAGGATCAGATAACTAATCTAGAGGTATTAGGATTAAGTAGTACATAGGAAAAATGTATGTTCAGCAGTATTTTCAAAACCATACAGCCTGTAGATTTAACTAATGATTTGCAATTCAGTATGACAAGTAAAGCCATACCGGCGAGGTTGTAATTAAATAACTACAGTCCTGGTTTTTGCTGATGACTCGATGCCATCCTCCACTCGCGTTTCGCCGTGACGCCGCCCTTGTCAATCCTCTTTAGATAAAACTCCATCGGCACTCACTCAAGCGCATCTTACTATTTCATATCCACACAAGCATCTCAATTGCTTCTCCATCATAATTTCATTCTCCTGCACTTTGCACGAGCCACTCTGACTGAAGGGGTCGTTGTGCCCCAGTGGAAGCCAGTAGCGCCGGGAAAAGTGTGTATCTCGAACTGAAGTAACGGTAGCCATCTCTCCGCGCCGGCAGACAAAACCTATAAATCCTGTGAGGTACTAAGACAAACTTTTCAGCCCATCCAACGGATTTAGGTGAAGGGGTACATCGCCCAGAAGGGAGCTGGTCTCGGGTCTGCATCGAGTTTGCGTGGCTTAGATAGTCGGTCTTGGTGGACATGTCGCTGTGGCTCCATGAGAACGACGAGGTGCGTCATACGAATCACTGACAGTATTATTTCTTCGTCCTAATCGTTGATCCGGCACAAGACAGCAGACGATTTCTCTTTAGTATCCTGCGACCTTGCTAGCATAGGCATGGAAACAGAAGAATTGCTCAATTGGAACTTAGCATCGGAGAATGTGTTGGAACTTAAAGATCCTGATGAGAATATTCACAAGACAGTCGCTTTGTTCACACAGAAGAAATATTAGAACCTTGTTTTCGACAGGGAAAATGATATGCGTTCCTATTTCCCTGGGTTAAAACCACATCAGCTTCAAGTCGTCAACTTCGTACTAGTACTACCACTTAGAATCGATCATAACCGCATGTCCAGCGCCGCTCTCTGCCCATCTTTTTGAGGGTACTTCCGAAATCGACTTTCAGGCCATCCTGCGCACCGCTTCACTAGTACTCGACGGAAATTCGCGCAGATCGTAGTGCAAAGCTTCAAAAGTAAGTTGACGAAGTACTCACTATTTGCTCGACGAATCTTTATATCCTATCGGGTGAGGAGAGCAAGCCGCTATTTACTCTATCTACTGATTCATCTATTCCTCTTAAGCATCGCAAATATCATTGTAGGACTCATATATTTTTCTGGTGAACAGAGTCCTATTGCCCAAGGAACTAGTACGGGCGAGTCAATCCGGCGTTCCATCAAAGAAGCGAGGCTCGGCCTCATCTTGGGTGACAGCGTTATCTCATGTACTGATGCCTCTTTTATCTAGCCGCACATTTTGCTACATCCCCGTGAAACCCATGACAAGGCCGCTCTCTTCGGCTCGCACGTGTCATGCACATTTTTATTTGCCTACTGAGCATTCAAAGCACAGCATTAACATCGAATGTCATTCCCACACCACGTATTTGGTCGTCATCTTGTTATGGTCATAGTATCCGCTTCCTGCGCGGCAGACGGGGGCATTCAGGCTTGAGATCATACCCGATCCCGGTACACGAACCCTCTTATATCAGGGGCTCGTGCATTCCAACGACCTCGTAGAATCTTCTAGCTATGGCACGTCTCACTATCCCGTCTCCTCCTCAGACACAAGGTCTCTCATCTAAGACTTTTTGCCCGCCTCCGCTCGATGGTTCCCTATTGTTCGGCCAAATATCCGAGTGGCATGAACAGCACTCTCCGCATCATCGACTCTTCACATATGTTGACGATACTGATCGGATTCAAGATATAACTTGGTCTGATGCAGCCAGGGCTATTCGTGCTGGTGCATGGCTAGCTAGAGAATGTGTACCTTGGAAGCAAGAGATGGGAAAGGCTCCCATTATCGGTATTCTTGCTGCCTCAGGTAAGTCGATTTCATGTGAATCTAGCAGAAAGACTTACTCGGCCGCATAGACACTATACCATATGCTACTATGGTCATGGGCATTGTCCATGCAGGTTATGTCGCATTCATTATCTCTATCCGCAACTCCCCAGCAGCAGTAGCTCACCTGTTGAACAATGTTGAGGTTAACCATGTTCTAGTTGGACGGGAACAGGCGTCGCAAGATTTGATACAAGAGGCCATCGTAATGCTCAAGTCGCAGTATTCAAGTGCAGGCATACCTAGTGTTTCGGCAATGCCGGTCTATGAAGACCTTTACTCACCGCTATCTGTGCCTTCGCTTGCCGATGAACTTCCGTGTTCGCTTCTGAGCCTGGACGCGCCCACTCTCATTCTACATTCATCAGGTGAATATTACATATTCTGGCCAGACCAACCATCAGCAATTCTTACGTTCCGTAGGTTCCACTGCATTCCCGAAGCCCATTATCTATACGAACCGTCGCGTCCTTGAACTTGGGACCACGCCATATTATGGCGAGCTTGATATCACCGGCTTAGTATTTTCCATCCACATGATGCCTATGTTCCATAGCATTGGTATCATGCATGTGATTTTAGGTGTATGTGCTTTGAATACAGAATTAGATCTGGCTCGTTTATAATTCTCACATGACCTAGGCCTCATGCGGTATCGTCACTGCTGTTTTCGCGCCCAAGTCTCCGCCGGCCGCTCCTACCACAGAGACAGTATTCCAAGGGGCCAAGGCGTGTGGCTGTGACATAATCATTGTGACTCCAGCATTTGTTGAGGTGCGTCTTTCACGCTTCTCTACCCCATCCGATCTTAGTGTGCTTTGGAGTCTTGGTCGCGCAACCCCGAATATGTCGCCTGGCTTGCGACGCTGAAGTTTTTGGTGCGTTTCTCGTCCTGAGTGTAGTTTCAATTCATGAAACATCTCGTACTGCTCTGGTAGTGGTTTGGCGGTGGCCCACTTAATAAGGAGGTTGGAGACTTCCTGTCTTCCCAAGGAGTGTCTCTTTGCATGGGCTATGGCTTGTACGTCGAATGGAAGCATCATGACTCCGTCTTATCTGACTACTCTATTTACTAGAACCGAAGCTGGTTGTATAAGTGTATTCATACCAGGTAAGCTTCCAGTTTTCCCAAGCAGCATGTGGATAATGAGTAACAATTATCCCAGCCAGGTCCTATCCCGATTGGGAATACATACCTTTCAATCCGGCTATTACCGCGCACATGTTGCCCCAAGGCGACGGCACATATGAGCTCATAGTATTGGTGCATTTTGAGTTGGGGTTGGTAAGCATAAAGTTAATATGTTCGTCCATTCTTCTACTAGGCGAGTGAGCGGGACCACCCGTGCCTCATTAATACCCAAGTTGACGGAGTCGACGCATACTCTACTTCGGATCGTCTTGCACCACATCCTTCTCTTCCCGGATTTTGGAGGATTGTGGGTCGTACAGACGATCAAATTATGCATAGCACAGGAGAAAAGGCGAGTGTTGTTTGCGTGTCAAATGCTTTGATAAATTAATGACTTGACGTACCAATCAGACAAATCCTGGGCCCCTGGGTTAGTTGATAGAATTTAAATCTAATTCTAAGACCAATATTTCTGTCAGAGAGTATCATGATGCAAGACGAGCACGTCGCTGGATGTGTGATGTTCGGTCGAGGACGCTTCCAAGCAGG